CTCTTCTCATAGTCCATCATGCGCAATCTCCAAGCTCGTCAGCCGAGCAGCTTCTCCTTGAACATCGTTTTGCACTTGGTTGAGGTGACATCCCAAGTCCTCGATTGAGGTGACATCTTCGGAAAGCTTCACCTCCACTCTAGAAACTCGCTTCTCTAGAGCCACCAAAGGATCATGAGTGCTCGACATACCTTTTGCCCTCGAGTTCCTCGTGGTATCTCTTCCATGTTACTTCTCAGCATTAGTAACGCCTTCGGATCCCCACATTTTTGGTGAGACTCTTCCCTTTCGTTTGGCTATTGCTTCTTCTTTGCTAACACCAAGCCAAACCAGGCTCTGATACCACTTGCCACGGCCTTACTCTCGGTCGTGCGGTCTTAACTCTCAATTCCGTTTGAGAACTAAGAAGTCTTCTCTCAACTCACTCGCAAGCAAAGAAAACAAAGGGAAGACAAAGAAGATGGGAGAACTCTCTAGTGTGCATTGCTCTCAATTCCGTTTGAGAACTAAGAAGTCTTCTCTCAACTCACTTGCAAGCAAAGAAAACAAAGGGAAGACAAAGAAGATGGGAGAACTCTCTAGTGTGCATTGCTCTAAAAAATGAGGAATGAGTTAAAGTGAGGGAGATGACTCCTTATATAGTTCTTTCCTCATACAAGTCATCAATGTTCGTCATAATGTTCATCTCCATTACTACACCTCATTAAGTCCCCCGATAATGCACTCTGCTAATGTCACCCATTATGTGACTCATAAGTGCACCATTAAGCTCTCATATAGGTGGAGAATCTTAGGAGCATCTCTATGCTTCTAGTCTTCCATACATGCGACATGTGCAGCCGCCATGTTGTCACCTTGTTGGTGTCATGTCATCTGCCACATGTGACAGTATTACCCGACCTGATAGCGTGGGGTGACGTATGAGTATTTACTTCCGACTCGTCTTGTCCTGCCCCACCCCGTTCTTTGCCCATTCTATCTTAATTTCTCACAATATCTATTCATATTTCTCCTATTTCGACTTTTCTTCAACTAGTTATGACTCAATTACCCATTCTAGTACCACTATTTTTCATTCATAAAATGTTTCCCCCTTCATTTATCGTAGAAAGTAATATTTTGCATGTATTTTCTTCAAATAACATGTAAGATCGGCTCGACACGCCACGTTTCGTACTCGTACGGGTATTACCCACCCCGACCCGCAGTAGCGTGGGGCGGGACATGGATATTGAGGTGCCCACCCTGGCCTATTACCATCACTAAGCTCTATTGAGTTTCAGGACTCGTGTTCGGGCCTGATTTTTGGTCTTTTAGGGGTCGTTTGGAAGTTGCGATTGTATTGTTGAGATTGTCATTATGCATGTATTGTTTACAATGCATCGTTTTTTTGTTTTTTTAGCAGAAACAATACATGGATTGTTTCTGTGATGTGACAGAAACTATCACTCATATTGAGTGATTGTTATATCTCAACTTTTAGTTGTGATTGTTGAGATAGTTGAGTTGAGATTGTTTTGTCTCAGCTTTTAGCTAATGCGACATACACAATCACACATACCAAACGTTATATTCTACAATGCATCAAATTCGACTATTAGAGTTTAATTGCATGTAAACTTTTTCAGTGAGTTTGATCCATTTGCTCTTAAAACTTAACTTGTAAAAAAAAGGTAGAGCTCCCTCCTTTGTCCTTGTCAGAATAACTTTTTTTTTTTTTTTTTTTGAAAAGATTGTGTTGTTTTCATCTCAAATACTAGGCCACTTAGTGGTAGACAAAGAAACTCTAGATCGCAGATTCACACAAGGACATTATAGTAGGGGTGGCTACTTGGTCCGGGCTTTTTGATTTTACCCGAGACCCGACCAGGACCGGATAGCAAACAATCCAATCTCATTTTCGGACTTAGATTTAAGGTAAAAAACCATTTGGGACCGGATCTAAAACCGGATAAAGATCGGATAAGAGAGTCCGACACACAGAATTTCAAAACTTAACCAACTCCTCACCCTATGAGGTCTCAGGCCACTCAAATCCCCACAAGGTCAATCTAAAATCAAGACCTAATTGGGACCGGACCGGGTCAAAACCGGACTGTATCTAATCCAATCTTTGGTCCTTATATTCTCGAAAAGACCGGACCGGGACCATATCAATTTGGGCAAATTTAACCGGACCGGATCGTATAACCACCCCTGCCTTATAGTTTCTTGTTTGTGTAACATAAGGACCATTTTTTTAAGGGTGAAACTATGTGTCTATGTCTTCAATGAAACTTTGACGTCGTTTGCTTGTTGGATTTGAATCATGTATTTGAGACCCATATCACAAATCTCATGGATAACCCTAAATCTTTTTTTTTTCCTGGTTTGCTAGTTAGACTCAAATCTATGATGGATCCACAGATTTTAACCTTTTTGGAACCAAATTCTTGGACCTACAGATTTGTAAATCCAACACTCCCTTAGGAATTTGGGTGAGGAAACCAAATTCATGGTGAAAAATTACAACTATGTCCAACTTATATGAATTGAAAAACAAAGTAAGTATAGAAATATACATAACCATTTCAAGTTCATTAGGAAAAAAATACCATTTAAAGCTATAAATCCATCACTCCAAAATCAATAAACAAATCAAACAAGTAAATTTTTTTTAAATCCCATAATGAACGAAATCCCTAATAAACCTTTGATTTTCCAAAACCTTCATTTTTATTTTTTTCATTGAATCAAAACCTTCATCTTTACCAAAACTCTCATTCTACAAATTCAACAAGCAAACAAACTCAAAGTAGAATTGTAGATTTGAATGTAAGACTTGCCTAAGGTGATCAAACACTTAAACCACAAACTTCAAAAGTTTCATCCAATGAATCATGGATGTCCTATTTCGTAATGGATATGTGTCCAAACTTTTGTAAGTATAATAAATTAAAAATGATCATAGCATCAATTTGTAATATGTTTCTAATGTTGTTTGAAGTAAATTATCTACTAGGTCTTTAATTTCTCGCTTTTTCCAGAAATTTATTTTCAATCATTGTCAGAGCTAAACTAGTAAAGATTTCTTGTATTATTTAAGAACTAAATAGGACTTTTAGAACACAAAGAGTACTTATTATTCAATATGTGCATGTATTTTTTTCATTTATTTCAACGAATCATAACTATCAAGTTTTGTTTCTAATTAAATTAATCTTAGTGTATAAGATTTTTAGAATTAATGCCTAAAATTTAATCTTTAAGGGTTAGGGTATGATATCATGCCTCAAACTCTGGTCAATTGAAGGTCTAAATATCATTTCCTTATTCAAGGTATGTAATACCTTTGATTTTACTCAAAATATGATAGAACCATCCATAATATATATGTGGTAAAGACTATTATACTTTAGGAGTATAATATACTCCATGTCATCTGATCGTTAGAAATACTTCTATGAGCTCCGACTAATCTTAACGATAAGTTATTATTTTCTATTAAATTGAACTTTGAGTTTGAGTTTAGAGAACATATATAGTTCAGAATTGCGTACGTCTGGCTATGAACCGTATGCCTAATGAGTTTTTCTATTCATAATATTAATTAACTATTGTTTGAGAATTATATCATACCTTAACTTTTAATGGGTGAACCTAAATCTTAATTCTCTATACTCCAGTCATAATTAAGATCAATTTAATTAAAAAAAAAACCCAACGATTTTGATTCGTTGAAGTACATCTGGTATGTGAGAATGGATGTGTATAAATAGGCCAAACATGTGCTAGCATTTGTCATATAGTTTATATATGCATGAATATATTGATCAATGACTAGCACAAATATTAATCAAGGTTCAGAGAGGCACTACGCGCTAGGCATAGAGAAAAAATTGGGGTTTTGTAGAAATAACAATTTATATAACTTTTTTACTTTAGTTTAATTTCAAATTTTTAATGATTGTGTGTAGTACGTGAATGCAAGTTTACCTTGTCTGAAACCAAAATCATATTCCCTAGTGTCTCTGAGTACCACTTACCCAAGTGGTGAAGGACGAGTTGTGTGTGGTTTAAAATGAGATTGGGAAGGTTGAGGTGTCTTCAGGGTTGAAGTTCCCATCGGATTTACAACATAAAAGGAAAAGAATGTGCGGGAAACATAAATCTATACAACTAGCTGATGAAGGAAACAAGAGGGTGAGGTGTTGTATAGGAAAGCTCCCTATAGAGTTCTATTGACTCGAAATCAAGTTACTATACAGGTATAGACCGTCGTGAGTGGGAGAAACCACTTATTGTGTTCGATACCCATCAATTGATGATCAATCGTGAGGGGTTAGGCCCGGTCTCATCCAACTCAAAATCATATTTTGAAGCACACACTACGAGGGGATGTGAATTTCGACTAAGTACACAATCGACGGGCAATAGAAAGCAATGAAATCAAACAATAGAAGAAGAAGAAGAACAACAACAACAACAACAACAAAACTAAGGAACTAAATGCTCATGGGGATAGATTTTTGGGAAACATTAGTCAAAACGAGATCCCCCATACAACCTGTAAATTGGCAGCCACAATAAGGAATTGGCGGTTAGGCCATCGATTCTAGCGCCAATTCATCCTCAGAGTTCAGCTTCGCTCTAAAACTGGTGGGTCGCTCTGTCGACAGAGTAACAACCCTCTAATGACTCCTATCATGGGCTACCGAACTTGTACTCCTAGGAGTCTATTAATAGGCCTCTGCATCAATTTGTTTGGGAGGAAAAATCGGCATTAACGCATTTTTTGAGTTCCTTCGGGCTTCCATTCTGCTCATCACGTCTGAAATATTCCTGGAGAATATGGATTTCGATCTAAACAGTCTCAAAAACGAGGGCAAGGTGTTGTTTGTGGTTTTGGTCGACTATTTCCAGCGTCATTTTATGGTCTTGATCCAAGCTTACATTATGATTCCCAACAGTTGGCCCTTAATGTTTTCCTACTCGTACAAGATGGTTCATTAGTATGTTATGACCTGAAAACACATGAAATACTCTAAAAGTGCATAAAAATAGCAAAAACAATCTTATAACTACTAAAACAGACGTCATGATTATTAAGCGAATACATACTATTATGGCTACAATGAGAAAACCATGATAAAGGGGTTTGAGCTTGTGTTTGTTGGGTTGAATACCGGTTTCGACGGATGACCGGTGGGGTGTTATGCCTCAGGCCACCATTTGCTCCCTGTTATCGCCACTGAATTCAATAAAATAAAATACTAAGCCAAAAAGCATAGCACCAACCATAAACTACATCCTCCAAGAAACTCCATTGTTCGTCTATAACAACGAAGTGCTAGATGAAAAGTTCCTTCCAATGAAACCCCTCATAAATAAGTAGGAAGCACAATTTATTCTAGGCGTACAACAAATAAAGACTATCCTACAACACCAAATCCTCCCTTAGAGACGATCAAGCTCTCTCCTTCCTAAAACAAAACATCTAATCCTGTCTTTCTGTGCAAACCACAATCACAGTTCTCACTCCCAATATCCACGGCAACACAAGGCGGCGATGGCGCCACTCCATCTCCGCCACTACCCTTGTACCACAGCTTCCTTTTCTTCACCAACTCCTCCAAAAATCCGTCCAGCTTCTCGATCGTCACGTTCGGCATCACCACCACGTGAGCAATGTTCCCCTGGCACGCTAGCTGCCACCTGCGCACAAACTCCTCGTCGTGGGGGCGTTCAAACACCACCGTGCTGCTGAGTTCGTTCAGCATCGCGCTGATGCCCGCGTCGCGGAGCTTGTCCTTGAGGTAGTGGGCGTTGCGGAGGCACTTCTGGACCTCCTTCTGGAACCCCTTGTAACCCTTCTTGTTCAGGGTGTACCACAGGAAGATTGGTGCGTGGCCATTTCGGCTACCCATGATCGTGGCATCTCGTGATGCTAGGTACTCGACGTTACTGGAGAGGACCTTGATGTGGGACATTCTTGTGAGCTGGACACCGCATGGCATTGGGCATCCAACGAATTTGTGTCCCGAAACGCTCACGCTACCAATTGGTTTCTTGAAGCTGACCTTCGGTGCCTGTACAAAACCAAGGCGTGTTTCTTTCAGCTTCACAGCGGGAGGTTACTTCCTGAATTTGGTGAAATAATCGCATTTCTTCAATCTCACTTCTTGAAACAACTATTCATAGCGCTAATGATGAGGAAGAGATGTGAAAACATAAAGGAGCGACCTAAGCCTACAATCTCCCTGCTACAATAATGCTTGCCAGAGCCACTTCTATAGCATGGATATGGAGAAGGAAATTAGATCACTTACCCGTTTCACAAAAGGCATCATGAGTCCAAACAAAGCTCCATCACAATGAATGTAGAATCGATCCTGTGGAAACCCATTTTCTTCAAGGGTCTTTATTACAAGGTCGAGGTCGTCAACTGCTCCTTTGACAGTTGTTCCTGCAATGAAGATAATCCCAACACGAATGAGATAGTGTGGGAGGTTTGAAACAAGTGAGCAAATGAGAGTATGAGAGAGAAACCAAATGCATAGAGGCTTGATACCTATGTTGACATTTAGGATGGCTGGCTTGTCTTTGTTGGCAAGCAGTTGCTTTTTCAAATCCGAGCAATCAATTTCACCAGATGTCAAACAATCTACCTTGACACATTCCATTCTGTACATACGAGCTGCCTTGAACACAGAATAATGTGATTCCCGGGAGGCATACAAAATGCCATCAGGAAATACTTCCCTCCTGCGCAATCAAAATCGTTACTTTCACATTACTCTTGACCTAATAGTTTGTCCTGAAATCACAAAATGGCATCAAGTGACAAGACACACTAACCCCATTAGAATCCCATGAAGGTTGCCCTCTGTACCACAATTGGTTATGTAACCCCAGTACTCATCTCTCTCTATCTCCCACAACCGAGCAAACCAGTCCAAGACGCCAACTTCAAACTGTCGTGAATGAACACCGTAGTTGCTCTCAATAAATGGATCCCCAAGATTGTTGATGGAGAAATGTTGCAATTGTGACAGAGCACCATAATCGAAGTCCAAATTATAAGGATAACCTGCAGCAAAGTGCAACAAATCAAAATCCATGGCATTAATGGTCACCAAAACTTGTGCTACTTGGCCCAACACATTCCTCAACACACTGCACTAGCAACAGTGATTTACAACAACCGATGAAATATAACAAAGCTTACAGACATGAAGGGTTACAGAAACAAAACACAGTAATTGATTTCATCTTCAGGTCACACAAGCACTTGAGAAAATCTTCACTTCCTGGAGTGCATTTAGGTTTCCAAAGCTAAAAAGGGATCTTTCAAACAAGTATTAAGTCTTCGAATTCACCACCTATGACCATCTTCTATACACCAGCAGAAACTAGCTTCCTAAGCTAATGAGGCTGATCTCAAAAGAATATCAGCTTCACCACCAACTATGAAACTAGAAAAGATGGACATTCACAAAACCAGAGCTTTAACCCAATAGAATCGGAACAGCAGGTAGACCGAACAAAAGCAATCAGTTCCTAATTAACACGAATAAGGAGGGAAAAGAAGACGGAAAGATCTAAAGGCGATCGATTCCGTTACCTAGATGATGCTTAGTCCGCTCGAGCAAGTTGTTTCTGTAGCGAGCGAGGACGGCGGCCATGTATGCGTCTTTGTCTCCGGTGAAATGGTCATCAGCGTCGGGCTCCGTGACCTCCAGGCACGCCGTGTGAACATTTCTCCCCAGCACAATCTCCTTCTGCTTGGCGCCGCCGTTCCCCTTGTCGTCGTTTCCGTGGACGCCGTTCTCCGCGGCCACGACGGGAGGGAGTGGCTCCGCTCGTACGATGGCGATGGGATCGAAGTCGCCCTTCAAGCCGTTTAGATGCGGAGCCGTCAGGGCAACTGCGTGAACCTCCATGGCGGGTTTGGACGGTTTCCGATACGGCAGCGGCGGCGCTCAGTTGTTGGAATCTGGAGGAAATGGGAGCCGGGGATGGAGGCAGAAGTAAGGAGCCGATTGGGAAATTAGATCGGCTTTGCTATAAATAGCACCGGAAACGACGGCTTGGGATACAGTCAACGGTTACTGATATGTGAGTAACTCACCCGGAGCCGTTATTAGGACGGAGCGATCATGTGGTTGGGATTGATGCGGGGTGAGAAGGGTATTTGTGTTCGCTTTTGAATTTTTAATTGTTTTTTTTTTAATTTGCTCAGCATTTCTTAATTAGCTTTGCATGGAGGAGAGAGTTAGTGTCTTACCTCTATCTCTACAGCTCTCTTCTCTTCTTTCTTTGTCCATTTCTCTCTTTCAAACTCTTTTTTCTCTAGATCTAATATCTTATTCTGTTCTTCATTTTTTCTCTCTAGCAATCTTCTTTTTTCTTTGTTCCTTTCTCTCTTCCCATCTCCTTATCCTCTAGATCTAATCTCTTATTCTGTTTTTCATTTTTTCTCTATAGCAATCGATGAAAGAAAGGTGCAACCTCCTTTTTTCAAGTACTCGACTTCAAAATTGGTGACGCTCCATATCGACCAAGAAGAGACAGATCTAGGTGAGTCAAGTTTGCATGGTTTAGTTTTTGTTTGTGGATTTTCAATTCCAATCTTCCTCTTTTTTTCTTCTTTTAGTGTTCTCGTTTGCGGAGGAGGAAACGAGAGGAGGCAGAAGAAAGGAATGTGAAGTACGTCTTAGTTTTATGTATATTGTTGTTACCATACTATACCATGGTGGTATTGTATGGTAACTAGATGTATATTGTGGTTACCCTACTATACCATATGGTAATGTGTGGTAACTCGATGTATACAATGAAAGTAGAGTGTGGTAATCGACATCAATTCAGAGAAAGGAGATTCAGAAGACAATGAAGGGGACAAGAAAGCGAAGAAAGTTGGAATTATATATATACCACACTATACCATATGGTAATGTGTGGTAACTAAATGTATTTTTATGCATATCATGTTTTACTATGGTCGTGGATGATGGTAATTATATTTATATTTGTTTTTAAATGGTTTTACGTTCTCTTACCATGTGGTATTGTATGGTAATTATGATTATTTTATGGTCATTCGATTCACCATGTTCTACTATGGTGGTATTGTATGATAGTTAGATTTATAATTTTTTGTAACATGTTTTACCACGTTATACCATGTGGTATTGTATGGTAGTTAGATTTCTAATTTTATTTTAGCATTTATACCATATGGTATTGTATGGTAATTGGATTTGTAATTTTCTTTAGCATATTTTGCCATGTTTTACCATGGTAGTAGAAAGTGATAGTCATATTCATACTTGTAATTACCCTTCTTGGCAGAGAATTATTAAATGAAAAAATCATCATTCAATTTGAGTTGGAGTTGGGTTAGAGAGAGCTGAGATTGTTGAATTCATATTTGTTTTAGAGATAGAATTAATGTGCAGAGAACATGTACTTTATTTTTTCTCTTTTAGTTGTAGATGGGAGAGAGAAGAAATAATTTAATTTTTTTCTTTTAACAATAGATAAAAGAGTGACAAAGGGAAACGTGTGGAGGACGGGGAGTGGGATCCACGTTCGGTCAAAAGTAGGCGTCAGGTCGTCAGCATTAAATGAGGGGTGAATGCAAATTACTTTACTACCCCTCCGTATTTCATTTAAATAAAACGGAACGGCTCAGATGCAGACACGTGAAAGATAGAGAAAGGGGTTATGCACGGTTACTGAGGATAGGGTTACTTTGTCTAACAAGTAAATTAGTGTTGCAAGCTCGTTCATGGCCTTGTTTGCTGAAATCTGTTCCAACTATTGGTCAAGCCCACCTCGGAGTATTGGTGTGGGGTTTCGTTTTTTTAGTTCCGGCTAACCAAGGCAATGAAAGCGTGCGCAGTAAGCGCAGATTATTCAGGATTGATTTCCCTTTCCCATATCATCTCACAATGTCAACTCTTTCTTTCGAGCTCGCTCCTCCTTCTTCTATGGACTCCGAGCTGTCTGTATGTGCCGCGGTCACTTCTCAAGAGGAGTCTCTCTCTCGAATTCCTTGTACTCCTCTCAGTATTCTGGATTCCCCTGGCCTGACTCAATCAGCTTCTGGATTGGGGTTCCCTTGATTCCGCACCAGTTCAGCCGACCGATAATTCCACTCCCTCCAGTCCGGCTCATTCTTCACCATCCTTCCCTTCCCCTACATGCCTAAACCCTAACTAGAATGAGGGGCGTGCGTGGAATTTCGACTCGTTTCCTTTCGATTTGGAGAGTCTGAATAAGGCCAGTCTGGAAGATGCGAAGATGATTAACCTTGATTTCTCCGAGGGTCACGAGAAGTTGGAGGAATTTATTAAAGATACAGCCCGGGAAGTGTTCAACAAGAAGGTTAGACCAGCAAGATCAAAGTTGGAAATGGAATTGTTCAGGCTTTGGTCCAACTCGAGTGCGTTATCAGAATCTAGAATAGGTAAGACCAGGAGGAGTGGGAGCTGCTCTTTGAATTTGAATAACTAATGGCCGTGCTTTTGTTTTGGAATGCGTGGGGCTTGAATGATCTCGCCAAGAAGGGCCGTGTTAAGAATCTTATTAGCAGGAAAAACCCTAGGATTGTGGGGTTGGTCGAATCAAAGCTGGGTGCCTGCAACCGGGAGATCGTTGCCAGTCTTTGTTGGTTCAGGGAGTTTGGATGGTGTGGGAAGGACGCTGTGAATGGCTGGGGAGGTATTCTGTTGTTTTGGTATAAGGATTTGTATGAGGAAGAGTCTTCTTTTGTTGGTACTTACTCCCTTGAGGTGAACTTTCTGGACAAGTCTACTTAGAAGAGATGGAAGCTGTGCGTGGTTTATGGTCCTCAAGAGAGGTCTGAAAAACTTCTTTTCATTAATAGTTTGGATTTCTTGTGCAGTAATGTTGAGTTACCTGTGTGTATTGCTGGGGATTTCAATCTTGTGAGGAGTCATGAGGAATACGTTGGGGTGAGGAGGAGTTCTGATATCATGAATGAGTTCAATAACTTCATTAATCAGCAAGCTTTGGTAGATTTGTCTATGAGTGGCAGCTCCTTCACGTGGAGCAATGGTGGGGGTGCTGCTTCTTTCTCTCGCATTGATAGGGTTCTCATTTCAGCAAATTTTGATGTAATGTATCCTGATTGCACTCTCACGGCGCTGGAAAGAGTCGAATCTGATCATAATCCCCTGCTGTTGAGGTGGGACGAGGGGAGGAGGGTTAAGCGGCCGTGGAAGTTTGAGAATATGTGGCTTAGGGATGAACATTTTTTTAGCAGTTTGGATGGGTGGATGCTCTCTCCAGTCATAGGGGTTGGGAATGTGTTTAAATGGACCAGTAGACTGCAGCAGTTGAAAGGGTTTATCAAAATCTGGAATAAGGAAGTTTTCGGGGATGTTAACAGAAGGATTGATGGGCATCTGAGGAGGATTCATGAGCTGGATGAAGGGGAGGAGGGGAGGCAACTGTCGGATGAGGAAAAGCTTGAGAGGGAAGTTAGGAGAGGCGAATTGGGTCATGACTTGGACCTTTTGGAGATGTCTTGGAGGCAGAAGTCTCGTGAGCTGTGGCTACAAAAGGGTGACAGGAATTCCAACTACTTTCATCGTATGGCCAACTTTAAGCGCAAGGTCAACCTCATTGAGGCTATACACATTAATGGGGTGTTCTTTGATGGCAGGGACAGTCTGGCTGAGGGCATAGTAGAGTATTATCGTAATATTTTGAAGGAAGAACAAGTTAACAGGCCCTTTCCTAAGGAGTACTCGAATGTTGGGTTAAATTCTGAGGAGGCTAATCTTCTTATAGAGCCTTTTACAGATGTGGAGGTGTGGAATGTTATCTAATCATGTAATGGATGGAAAGCTCCCGGGCTGGATGGGTTTAGCATAGATTTCTACAAAAAAAGTTGAGAGAGGAATAAAGGGGAGTTTATGTTGGCTGTACAAGATTTTTATAATAATGGCTTTCTCCCGAAGAGTGCTTCTCACTCCTTTATCTGTTTAGCTCCGAAGAAGGATACGGTGGAGGATGTGCGTGATTTGAGGCCGATTAGTTTGTTGGGGAGCTGGAACAAGGTTATGAGCAAGGTTCTTATGGGAAGGATGAGGGTTGTTCTTCCTCGTTTGGTTTCCGGCCATCAACATGCTGCTGTTAAGGGACGTTAAATATCAGAGGCAGGACTGATTGCGAATGAGTTAATTGATAGTAGGAAAAAGAGTAGAAGACCGGGTCTTTTGTTTAAATTGGATGTGGAAAAATCTTTTGATAGGTTCAATTGGGAGTGTCTTTTCAAAGTTCTGGCTTCTCTTGGGTTTCCTCTTAAGTGGCAGCAGTGGATTCGGGGTGTCATGTGTTCTCCGATGATCTCTATTCTCATCAATGGTGAATCCAGGGGTTTCTTTCCGGCTACCAATGGATTGAGACAGGGGTATTCTCTCTCTCCTGGGCTTTGTGCGTTAGTTATGGACATTTTCTCTTTTATCATTGATAGTCTATCTCGGAACGGCAAGATCTCGGGTTTTCGTATGGATGAACGGGGATCGAGAGGGCTGGTGTCTCATTTGCTTTTCGTAGATGACACTTTAGTGTTCTGCGATGCCGATCCGGGTCAGGTTCTCAACTTGCTTGCGGGGGTTGTGTGTTTCCAATCGATCACTGGCTGAGTATTAACCTGGAGAAATCCATGATTTTGTTATTGGAGATGTGCCGGAGCCTCAGATTTTGCTGACATATTTGGGTGCAGCTGGAGCAAGGATCCGAGCAGATATTTGGGTTTCCCTTTGGGAGCAAGAATCAATGCAGTTTCTATCTGGGACCCAGTGATTCGCAAGAGTGAGCAGAGGTTAGCTGGCTGGGCAAGCAGGTGTCTTTCATTCGGTGCTCGGATTACTCTTATCAAGTCTTGCTTGTTCAGTCAAACGGTATACCTTTGTTCTTTATTTCGAGCACTAAGGCGGTGATTAATCGCGTTGAGCAGATTCAGTGTAACTTCCTATGGAATAGGGCTAAAGAGACTAGGAAGTTCCACCTTGCCAGCTGGGAGCTTTGTAAAACTTCTACTAGTCGTGGTGGGTTGGGTATTCTGGACTTTGATTGTTTTAACAGAGCAATGCTTGGGAAATGGGTGTGGAAGTATGCGGTGGAAAGGGAGAGTTGGTGGAGGAAGCTTATTGAGGTTAAATATGACAGCAGGACCTCTGAGTGGTATTGCACCCGTTCAGTGGGAGGTGTCAAGAGTTCTACTTGGGCCAACGTGGCAAAGGTTCATTATGATGTCTGGGATCATGTATATGTTGATCCGGGGGGAGGGGCTGGAGTTTCCTTTTGGAATGACAAGAGGATCCCTGGGGTCGTTCTTGCGGATTCTTTCCTCGCGTTACTGCAGCTGCCGCGTCCCAAGAAGCTCGACTATTTGACGTTGCTGAACTCTTAGGTGATAGGGTGTGTTGGAATATTCAATTTTTATGGGATATGCGGGGAGGGGCTGAGAGAGAGAGAGAGAGTTGCTTTCTTTGATTTACTCAATTCGGTTGATGTCGCTCTAATTCGGGAAGGACCTTGCAGAGTAGTTTGGGGTCCAAACCCAGACTCTTCTTTCTCTGTTAGTTCTCTTTACAGGTGCTTAGCGGAAAGGAGTTTGCAGAGAGTAAGCAATTTCCCGGCTGATGCGATCTGGAAAGGGGTGGTCCCACCTAAAGTTTGCAGTTTTTTGTGGCTTGTCTTTCATAGACGGATCCTGACATTAGACAACCTCAAGAGGAGGGGCTGGCAGCTTGCTAACAGGTGTGAGCTCTGTGGATGCGAGGATGAAACCATTGATCATATGTTTACTAGGTGTGCTTTTGTTGCGGAGGTTTGGGGAAGGCTGCTGTCCGTCGCCAGTTCTAGTGATGTTCGGAGGGGAGACATTGTGGAAAGTGGAAACCATCAGAATTTGGCCGACTGCGCAGCCCTCTGACGTGGCAGGTTGGTTTCATTATTGTCTCCTTCATGCTGTGGGCTTGGAACGTGTGGAAGGAAAGGAACCGGCGTGTGTTTCGGCAAGAGCGTCTTCAAGCAAAGGATGTGGCATGCATCAGTGCTAGGACTGTCGTTGATTGGACTATGGCGTTCGGAGTGGTGGAAAGAGCGATGGACTCCGATGACTTCGGGCTGTCTGCAGAGGATTTGTCACTGATGGGTGGGAGGCGGCTCCTTTATGGTTCCTTTATTTGGCTTTTGTTTGGTTGGCAGAGTTTTTGCTTTCTGGGCTATCTGGGTTTGGGTTCTTTGTACCCTCTGCTGCTTGATTGTTTTTCATCTGCAGGGTTGGCTGGGTCCAGCTAGTAGGTGTGTTTCTGTTGTCTTCTTGTTTCCCCTTTGCGTTTGTCAGGTTCATTGCTAGTGAACCGTTTTTTATTTTGTTTTTTTCTTTTCTGAACTCGAGCTTGATTGCTCTATATTTGGTTTCTCTTTTTATTTTATGCAATTTATCACCATTATAAAAAACGTTTGTTCAAGTTATATCTATAATAATCTCTAAATGAGTACCTAAAATAGACATCTTTGTATAGCGAATCTGTATGATATAGTTGTCATCAATGTACGTAATTGATACCACGTGTATGCCCATTAACCTTTCGGACGGGTCTCAAAAGAGAGGCTCGCCGTTGTACTGGTTAAGGAATGTGGAGTCGGTCGATGCCGTTTGGTACGTCGGAGGGGTCGGGTAACTTTTAGACGACTAGAGATTCCTCCCCATTAGGAATGACAATGGGTCGGGTTGGAGCGGGTTTTGTCAAACCCAAACCCATGGGTTTATCCACCAAAAAAACCGGAGTAAAACCCATTGGGTTTGAAAAACTCAAACCCAACCCGCTGGGTATCCGCGGGTTCATGGGTACCCGTGTGTTTTTGTGGTAAAAAATTTACAATAATAAGTTTCTTTCAAAATAAAAGTTTAACATCAATTTTCTCATACAAATTAATCATACAAAAAACACCAATCTAGAGCATACAAGCAAACCGCAAATGATCAATACAAATTGTTCAAAATTAAAAATAAACATCTATAAACAATAAGATTAATTGAAAGCTTCTTCCTCGTCAACTAAGTTGCTTCACTCTCCACTTTATAATATCAACTTCATTCTAAACAATTAGAAAGAACAAATTATACATGTCTCCACAAACATAAAGAATATGAGTTGTTTAAGGAAGATATATTATTTGAAATATTAAATATACCGGGAAAGTAATTATATGTGTGTGGGAGGGTACCCATGGGGCGGGTTTACCTAAACCCAAACCCAACCCGACCCGGTGAATAGTGTAGCGGGTTTAAACCCGAACCCGGTCCAAAACCCGTCAACATGGGTTTTACCAGCGTTGACCGGGTTGGGTCGGGTGGGTACCCGTGGGTTCGAGTTTTATTGCCATCCCTACTCCCCGTATTGGCACACGTGTAACGTGGAGTGTGATGATTGGGTAGGTGAAGATACGGGGAATCACATGCTGGTTGGGACAGGTCTTATCTCTTGGATCAGGATTCTAGGCCTGGTCCCGTCCCGTCACTTCTTTAGGAGTGGTTTGGTAGTTTTAAGGAGATTTATTACCTTGCACCTTACTCAGTTACTCTGACCCGAATTATGATCATATAATTAATTTTGGCTCGTGATTTGAGAAATGAACCTGGCTCGAACTTTGCAGTATATAGACACAATTGGCTGGAAGCGTGGTTTGACCGTTTGTTTGGATGGTCAACATCACTGACCGTTAGTCAACTGTCCAGGTCACCGCCACGTTAGCACCAAAGAAAAAAGTTAAAATTCTATTTGCTTTTATTATTTCCTTTACCGAATTTAAGAAAACAAAAGAAAAAAAATCGACCACTTATTTTCTTTTATTATCTCCTTCCCCGACCTCTTCCCCCGGCAAACGTTCCGCCTCCCGCCGACCATCTCCAGCAGCACCATCCCAGAGCTGTACACATCCGATTTCTCCGAGATCCCGAGCTCGAGGAGCCATTATGGCGCCAAATATCCCCTTGTTCCTCTGATGTTCGTGATCACTCTGCTCTCGTCGCGGCGCATCAGCTTCTAGAGCCCGAAAGCGGAGATGATCGCATGGTGGTTCTCGTAGAGGAGGATATTCTCCGGCTTGACGTCGGGGTGGAGGATCCTGGACCGGCAGTCGCTGTGGAGGTAATTCAACGCCTTCACGACTTCGATGGCGACTCTGTACCTGAGGTCGAATCTCAAGCACCTAGGGTTAGGGTTTTCGTTTCCCCCATTTTTTGGGGGGAAAATCCAGCATTTGGGGTACCCATTGGGGACGAAGTTGTAGACGAGGTAGCGAGATTGATTGGGGACGATGTAGTAGCCGATCAGCCTCGCGAGGCTGAGATGTTGGACGTTGGCAAAGGCGTCGGCCTCATATATGAACTCCTTCTTGCCTCGGGCCTCAGAACCGATTCGCTTCACCGCTACCCAGTGGCGGAGGGAGAGGGTTAGAGGGTGGGTCCCCGGACCCACCTTGGCTCGGGAGGAAAAATAATAAATTACGTATAATAGTTAATCGGGTATGAAAATAATATGTATTTAAATAAAAATGATTGATCTTAAAATACTTGATGTATGATTTCTAAGTTGTGTATTGAGATATTCAATTTTTTATAACGAGCTATGTACAAATGACAATGGTGCATATGATCCATGCAAATTATAGCTAATTTGTAAATAAAATTTTATTTCAATCAGAGTGGGGAGAGTGTTACGGCCTAACGGGTGGCTACTAAGGACAAAAATGAGTAAATTAGTATAATAATTAATTGAGAATGAAATTTAGGGTATTTTTTATTGAGAATGGTTGGCCGAGAGATCATGTGTTCAAATCTTGAAGTGCCCCATTTGTTAAGCACATGATATTTGGATTTGTGAAATACTAAATAGTATAAGATCTATTTTTAAATCTTTCTCAACAACTCGAGTTATTGATACTAAACGGTCTTGACAAAGAGCAACATTAGAAAGCAAATTTCTAACTAAATCACAAATGATTGTTTGACACATATAAAGTAATATATTGATAGTTTCGACATATATTTAATTTACCAAATTTTGTAAATACAAAATTATATTATGAATGATTTAAAAAATAAATAATTTTTTTATCGTATTTATTTTTTCCTAAATGGACCCACCCTCGACAAAATCCTGGCTACGCCACTGCCGCTACCGCGGTCCCGTCGCTGAGGACGCCCTGGAAGACGGAAGCGGAAGCTCCCCGGCCAAGGAAGGACTAGCAATTGGCCATGGCGTCCTCGATCTCCTAGTACCGGAACTTGGTCGGGACGCATGCGACTTTCCGAAGGAAGGAGTACTTGATGCGGAGCTCCCCGCTCTCGGAGACCATTTGGGTCTAGAGGATTTTGCTCCGGTTGTTGTAGCGGCGGCGGATGAAGAGGTAGGAGACGACGGCGAGGATGACGACGACATCAGCGCCGACGATGAAGAAGAAGGGGCGGGAGAGCATGAGGGAGACCTGGGTGACGATTATGAGGATGACGACTAACGCGATCGTGGTGCAGGCGAGTATCTCCAAAAATATTTTCTTTTTTTGTTTTCTTTAAATTCGGTAAAGAAATATTAAAAGAAAATAGAAATTCAAATTTTTTTAATCTTTGGTACTGACATGGCGGTGACCTAGACAGTTGACTGTTGACTGTTAGTCAACTATGTTGACCATCCAAACAAATGGTCAAACCACGCTTCCGACCAGTTGTGTCTATATACTGCAAAGTTCCGGCCAGGATGTTAATGTCTCAAACCACGGGTTAGAGTTGATTATATGGTCATAGTTTGGACCAGAATAAGGTATTAACTCTTTTAAGGATGGCGAGTTTTTGATAATTAGGGGTGTGTAGTGTCCTGTCCAGGACCAGACCACACATGACCAAATAGACCAAACACAATGATGATCCGATCCTTGGTTCTAAGGTATTTTTCACTAATGGACCGCGGTTCTCATAATTTTCGTCCAATCCGGACCGGACCGAATCGTTTCACACTCCTATTGACAATACATCTTTTTTTTTAATTTGGAGGATATGGTGCTTTATGAGATTTCTAGTCTATTTCAAGTAACCTGTGGTCTGTTTTAAGAAATTTGTGAACTACTTCAGGGGACTTGTGGTATGCTTTAAGAAACTTATGCTCTACTTCGGAAAACTTATGGTTTACTTTATGATTTTTTGTGGTTTAGTGAGGTTGTGGCCTACTTCGTAAGCTTTCTGGCATGTTTTATGGTATCTGTGGTGCGGTTTTTTGTGTTCTAATTTGTATTTTGGGTATGCTTCATGATACTTGTGGGGGCGTGTTACACAAAATTTATGCACATCACCACAAGTGGATGATCGCCATAAACACCTCCATGGAAGCCATGGAACTACGATAAAAACCCATTGATTTTCTAACAGGCAGACTTGTTAAAAAACCAAAAGTGAAAGATATGCAAGAGATTAAAATATGGACTCGAATTAGCTTCCATATCTGTTGAGATGCAAACCCTGCAGATGGGTGAGAAAATTTTACCCATATATGGGGGCTCTTCATCATGTTTGATGAAAATTTTATTATCCATAGAGTGATTTCATGCGACTTCGAATAGCTATAGATGTTACTTGAAATAGACTAGGATAGTGCAGCTCATCGTCGGATCTTGTCTGATTGAATCTCATCCAGCGAAAATTGGACTACTTGGTCTTGAGCAATGCGATTCATTGTTTCAATCTGCATCAAAATATGCAAGTCAAAGTTATTATTACTCCAGTCCCAGAGAGCCCATATGCCTCGTTCATATCCCAGCGATTCCGGACCCAGCCAAGGACCACGTGAAAAAAAGACGTGTTCAAGGCAGGTTCAGCAGAAAGAGACGGGATAGGGATGGAGCAAACAATAGAGGGAGTACCTGGGTGAGCACAGTGCTTGGGGGAGATTGCTCTGCTATTTGCCGCCGCAATCAACTCTTTCCGAAAAGTGAGAGTATAAAATTGGGGACGGTTGGTTAAATAGCCGCATGAGCTCTGTACTCCTCCAAACAAAGTCCGATGAACCCGTTCCAGGACTCTTTCATTTCGTGTTGGGGTGGTATATGGAGTCTGTCGGCGGGTATTGAGAGAGAATAATCCCTCAATCCTCACCGCAGAATCCGGGATCAGGATATTCCCGAGATCCCTGGCTCTGCCACATCGGCTAGCTCGAACTCGCAAAACAGAGGAGCCGCTTCCGGCGGTCACCACCCAAAAATCGACGTGCGGTTGTGTGCCCATAGGAGCCATCTCCTTCGGTGAATCAATTTCAAACGTCGGAATAGAACCAGGACCTGGAATTGGCCCACTTCGGACGTTTTGCGAAATTTTCTCGCTTAAAAGGCAATCTTGTGCCACAGGGATGATGCTTTCTTCCAGCCTTCCTTTCGCGATGTGCACAACCTTTTGGATTTATTTAAACCCGGTGCGACTTCATTGGTGAGGAGTAATACAAGCTTCCTCTTTCCGATCCTGCTTGCAAATCGATTCGTTATCCAGTCATTCCCAGACGAGGCGTGGCCATTCTCCCATCGCCGTCGGACCACCAAAACTTGCAAATTCGCCCGGTCATCCTCACTAAAGAATTGCCTATGCGTCTCCGATATCCTCTGGTGGCTAGGCTAGCCTTTAGAACAGCTTTAGCCATGGCAAGGAGGAATCGCCCTAGCAGAAAGCAAAGATGGAGGAGAGAGGAGAGAGCTCCTCTATTTTTTTTTTATTCAAAATATTTGAAGGTACCAATTAATCTTGAAAAGGTATTCTGACTTGATTCAACCTGCATTAGATATATACCAACCACAATTGTACCAAGAACTCCATAGTTATGACCTGCAAAATGCATCATAGGGAACCAAGCATAACTATGACCTGGATATAAAAACTGAAAACGGGCTTGAAAGAGAACATATCATACAATGTAAAATTACAGGGAAATAGAGAAGAGTTTACCCAAAAAGGGTAAAATGAAGCTCTTACTCAAATTGAACGTGACAATATCAAATAGTTTAATTGCAGCAAGCATAATAAAGCAGAAAGTGGAGTTTTAGTTGTCAATCACGTAACAGGTAAGCTCATGGTACCTAGCTAGCTAGTAAAATGTAGAATGATATCAACAATTATCACTTTTCCATTTTCCAAATCTTAAAGTTAAAGAACCATCTTGAACTCAGTATGAATGTTTCAAGGAATTCTATCTATCATAAGACATGTAAAAAGTGTATTGTTCCTTAGTGTCCCATCCAAAGGGTGACCTTTTCATTATTTTCCACACACACGAGGACCAAAAACGTCATTAGGTTTAACTTTTTGTTTTTTTCCAGTTTCCACATTCTCTCTCCTACGTTTACTCTCATCCACTTATCTCCATTTCTCTCCCATAACTCATCACACCCACCAAGGCACCAATCATCTCCATCTCTCCCTCTCTTTTTGGAAGAAGGCGAAGGAAGGAGGAAGAAGAGAACAATAGCCCATTGGCGGCGAATTGGAGAGCTATCAAAGGCGGCTCCTTTCGTATTCTTATTTATGTCTCTGCTCTTTGTGGCTTTCTCTTCCTACTCATTTTCTAGCCACATGAATTTTTCTCCTCTTTCTTTTTTCATAATGCAGGCTGAATTAATTCTCATTCAGATATGTCTTCTCCCCTTTCTGTCCAAGAACAAAAAAGATATAGAAGGAGGAAGCAGAAAAGGAACGAGGAGAATGAGAAGGAAAAATTACTTCCAAGTCGATCATCGTCCCCTATCTGAGTTATCTTCTTCTCAGAAGGCACTTACCACTCTTGTCTCTTTCTCTTTTCCCACCACCGCAAAATCATGTCGTCGTAGAGGAGGGGTTGTCCACCGCCTAATCTGTTAGATGGTCAGTTTCTACTGTCTGCTTGTTTTTTATTTTAGTTCCTTTACGATTTTAGTTTCTATTGAATCACTGATTTTCTCAATAAATTTATTAGCTACGAAACTACGCTGACGGAAAGCAGCAACTCCTTTTTCAATAAACCCATCTTTACAATTATATTTCTCACTATATCTTTCTTTGCTGAGTTTCCGCCTTTTCTCTTGCATTTTGATTTGCTTTGATCCAGATTCACGAAGGAGAGGCATCCAATCCCGTAGATCAGCAGCGAGTTTGATGGACTTTTGGGTCTCAATGGTGAGCAAACCAATTTATGGAGGGTCTTATATGCCCCATCTATTCTAGGAATGGCAGGACCTTGCTGGGTCGACGACATCGACAGCCGAGGAGGGAGCGACAGGTGACAACAAAGACTGAGGGAGTTTTGCACGCCATCAATTGGCTGGGGAGGGGACGACGGGCAGTAGAGAAGGATGAAGCGTTGTCTGTGTTTACCCGTGGCCAGCTCCACCAGTCGTCGTTCTCTACCACTGTTTTTATCAAATTGTGATCCCCTAATATGTTATACCTTATTTGATATCATTGCCGAACTTGGTTTGTGCTCTCTTATTGCTAATTTTGGTGTTTGGTGTGATTCTAGGGTGTCACTTCAAGCTAGCTGTATTTTTATCGAAAATTGCTTTTACTTATCCAATTTCTATACATGTGCAGCAGGTGATGGGGATGATGTTTGTAGAGTCTTGGGTTATAAACCAATGTGGCATGGAGTGCAAGATCATGGAAGCTGCTATATGTTTCAAGAGCTGTAAGGCAGGAAGACTGGGTTTTTTCTTCTATAATCTGATTGGGAATATGGTAATCAGTGAGATATGGAGAGAAAGAGGTGTAGGAGGCTGTACGGAGGAAGATGTATGCAATGTGTAGAACTGCTGAAAATGATGCAACATGTTTTGGAGTGGAAGATCCTTGCCAGCTTGAAAACAGAAGAGTCTGCTCAAAGGAAGATGTTGTGGTTTCAGTATTAGATTGTTCCATTCTAATATCTTCATGTACATCTTAGGGATAGGGGTCCAGATTTGTATAAATTGTCCTATGTTTTTATGAGTTTAAACCAATGTTGTTAGAACCGAGCCGGAGCTTGACCCGATATCTTGAACGGCTTGCACTTTAGTGGTTCAACCGCTATTTGACCGTTAAAAAACCGTTAGAGAACCGGTACCTTATAAGTAATAATATCATAAATAAAAAGACACATAAGGTAACAATTTAATAATTTAATGATTAAAATGAAATTTACTTTTTAGGTAACACTTAGTAATTTTACCATTTATAGATATATATAAACTAATACTAACAAACCCTAATTCACTCACCCACCCCATCAGCGGCAGCGCCGCTCTACCCCTATCCCTCTCTTTCTTTTTTACAATTTTTCCATCTCTCTTCTCTTAATCTCAAATCTAGATCAGCCTCTCACTACTACAGTGACGGCGATGAAAGAATGAGGATGCATGTCAAAGGCGGCAACTTGTGAGGGAGCTCTGGATGGGTGGAAGCCAACAACGCCGCCGCCATCAGGAGCGGCTGCTATGCTTCGATTGTCAGAGATGTTGGATGAGAGGAGTGTTCGACGGCAAGGGCGAAAGCCTAGAAGACGATGGGTTCGTCGACAGTGGGTGTGTCGCCGGCAAATCCCCCCACTCGATGAGATTAAAACCCATAAATTTTTTTTGTTTGATTTTTTTATTTCCAAACGGTCAGAAACCAAAAACCGGTTGGACGGTTCGAGCGGCTCGAATGGCTAACCATTTCGGCCGCTCAAAAACCGTCCTTCCTGGCCGTTGCGGCTATTGAAGGGTTTCGAGCCGAGCTGGCGTCCGGGTGCCGGTCTTACCGGTCCGACCGGCCGGCTCGGCTTTAACAACAATGGTTTAAACTGGTTGTAGTTTGCTCTCATGTGGAGCTTTTTTTATGAAATAAAGCCTGTTTTTCATTAATAAAAAAAAATCTAAGACTCTCAGTCTTCAACCTCTTATACCTATTGGCATTGTCACAGAGCCGCATGAGCTGCCTCAATCTGGTGAATATGAACTCCACATTCATTCTCAGCTTCTGAAAAGCTAATAATGTGCTCTCATTTACATATACCAAACAATCTCACCATTCTACTGGTAGCGACAAGGAGAAACAACCGATTTCGAAATCCACAACAGCGACAATGTGTTTCTGAGATCCAAAAAAGCGTTAACCTTTTATAAAATCGAATTTTCTAGAAATTGAGTAATGTACCCCGCCGCGCAGCGCGGGCTCTCCGTTCTAGTACATAGTAAATGTAAGTGCAACAACCCTCAGATCGGTTCATGTTAAACCTTCCTGTTTCCTATTACTATAAATTGGAGATGCACATTATCATATACATACATCTTTATTATGTCTCAGTTTGAAAGTGACCTAGACCCAAGTTGGCCAGCTTAACAGGCTCATCACTTTCCCTGAGCATATTCACACCTCCCAATTTAAAGTACCAACTGTCCATAAACAGAGCAGCAAGATGTATAACTAAATCTCCAGAAATCAGTTGACTAATCGAGGTATATAACTAAACCCACATATAAGGATCAGTTTGGAAGCAATACACGATAGCATATGGCACACATAAATCAAGAGGTAGAAACCATTGCAGCCAATGGTTGACATTGATTTAGAAAATATAGAGGTATAGTTCTTCAAATACTGAGCAACGCATGAACACACATGATTTGAAAATGGCTTTCATGTGCTCTATTTGTGGACTTTTGCTTCTCTCGCCAGGATTGTAACTTTGGGAAGAAGAAACTGCAGAATCATATAATGTATGAAAAATAAGAAACAGTAACAAATTAATAATGGTTCCTTAATCTTAAGTAGCTTCTGAACTGTTGAGTCGCCTAACTTACGGATCCACTTGATATAGAAATCATTTGTTACTTCTCTGAATGTAATCTAAGGATAGTTTCTTATATCTCGGTAATAATTTCAATAGCAGGGTTGGATCGTTCAGCTAGAATTGCAACCCCATTATAAAGATTAATCTTGGATTTCATGAAGTAAAGATTACTCAGATTCTAAGGGGAACATTTCATCCCCAATTGCACTATGAACCACAATTCCAAAACTTAAGACTTCTTATGATGGCTTTAAGATTGGTCGAGGAAATTAAGTTCACGGCTTTTACATTACCGATTTATCTCTTCCTCTTCTCTTGGTTGATCAATGGAGAAATCACATCAATCTATCTTCGCAGTCTGCTTTGACTGGTCTCTGAAGAGAGAAAGCGAGCTACTGACGTTCAGATAGGCCGCGGATTTTAGTCGTCCACTGCAGGAAGAAATGAGCTTTGAGATTCGCGGGGAGTGGAGTGATGATCAGGGGGAGCGAGCTAGGAATGGAGATGCATTGAAACCTAATTCAGAAGTCTCAATTCCACTGACGATCGCCGGAAAACCACTCATCTAGCTAGAGCTCGGGCGGTGCAATCATCATGGACAGAGCGTGCCCCGCCACCAATCTAACGATGAAATTTTTGAAGGTTGAAAGCTCTAAATGCAAGGTATATGCGAATGGGGAGTCTTTTCTTCTCTCGGTCAGGCGCTAGACAGATCTACGGAGGCAGCGGCGGATCCAGAACACAGAAGAGCACTGAGCCGCATTTCATTAGAATATTAGAATCGTAAAAAAATATTATAGTTTTTTTACAATATAAATTGTACACGATGGTATTTTAATTTAGCGAATACATCAATAATGGAGTCTACATTCATACCAATAGTATACACTGTTTTAAATAAAATACTTGAACAATCGGGGAGAAATTCATTGCTCGTTTTGTTGGAGTTTTTTCCAATAATAGCACCCTAAAAAAAAAAATTACAAAACTAGCACACATATGAAAAAATTGACACAAATAGCACCTATATTTATGGAACGCACCTCCAAGATGCGTTTTATCAGTAAACCGCACTTGAAGGATACGGTTTACATATAAACCGCATCTTGGAGGCGCGGTCTCCGTTACGAAACGCATGCCAGCAATGCGATCCGCGCCAGCTGCGGAACGGTTTTCAAGCCGTTGGATGGAGGCGCGATCGGGCGGCTGAACGCTTGCCAGGGGAGCGATCCGCGCCAAAGACTGCAGACCGCTTGGCCGAGATGCGGTCAGCCCTAGGTTAACGCAAAACGCCTCGGGAGGGAGCGGTTTTGCTCAGGCCAAAATTACCAGCCCGCCCCTGGGGGGTGCGGTCTGATGGGTATAAATACCCCCCCTCCCCCTCTCATTTCTTCACACCACAACCCATTCTTCCTCCTCTCTCTACAATTTATCTCTCTAACTAAACCCTCCCCTCCCAAAAGCCTAGGAAATAGTGGTCTGTTGGTTGCGGCTAAGTCCGATCTGCCATCAGTAAACATTTCTTAGGTTTTTCCTCAAAACCCTCCGAGTCGAGCCGAAGCTCTGTCCGAATTACGCCGAAATAATGGCCGATTGGTGGCAAGGAGAAGGAGTTTTTGTTGATGAATTTCAAGCGGTATGTACTCATTATTTTGGTTTAATCTTTGTTGTTGTTATAAGTTTTTTAATTAATCTATGTACTAACCTCGTTGTTATTTTCTCGTAGGTTGGGGAGGACGTCGATATATACAACCAACGGTATTATCTCGAGCAAGGACCGGTGGATCCAACCGACTTGTACGACCAAACCAACCATCGGTCAAGGGATGTTTGGAACGATCACCCGGTACATACAATTCTTCACCATTTGTCCTTCTTTTATTTTGTTAATGTGCCTAGTGTAATATAAAATTAATTTATGTTTATTTTGTAATCGTGTTGGTTGTTTTCAATAATTTAATCGAATACATAGCGCCACTTACTTCGACTCTTTATAAAGAGATGCACGTCTAAGGAAATGGGGTTTTAAGCGATTATCATATCCTCCCATTACCTGGGAAAATCGGGTATTAAGAGATCCTCGGATCCCCCCTTTTTCTGTCAAAAAGACTGCGTTTCTAAGAAGATGTATACCTCTTCTAAGAGTCTAACGAGTGTTGCTTTGTATTCGATTAAATTATTTAAAACAACTAATACGATTAAATTATTTACCAAACATTTGAATATGTATGTTTCTACTTAAATTATTATTCAGTAACAATGTTATTTATGTTAATTAATTTAGTATGTTTGTTTTACGATAATATGTATGTACCTCTTTAAATTATTATTCATTGACAATTTTATTATGTTAATTAATTTAGGACGTTTGTTTTATGATAATATGAAATGTCTTTTTATGATAATAAAATTATGTTTTATGTCGCATAATTTAATTTAATTAATTTAGTTATACGAAAAAAAACCCTTACTAATAATAATAAACGTGTACATTTTTTGCTAGGAATCACAAACAATAATCCGCTATAGGGGTACCACCAATGTGCTCCCATTCCACCCAGCTATCTTGCCATTTCTCAAAAGGGCACGGTTAGACTCGATTAGGCATTTTAACGGCATCCAAATCGATCGCCAACTCATCACCGCATTAGCCGAGAGATGGAGAAAGGAGACCCATTGTTTCAACTTTAGAGAAGGAGAGGCCACCATCACGCTAAAGGATGTCGCCATCCTAACCCATCTGCCCATCGACGGCAAACCGGTGTGCGTGAGTGATCATCCCCCCGAGGATTGTGACGGTATGCCAGGTTGGCAGCATTTCATCCACAGTCATTTGGGAGTGAAAGTACCGGTGAAGGGTTGCGTTGATGCGACCGATCGCATGCCACCAATGAGGAAACACCAAGTCTCAATTACATGGTTGACGAAGTATTTTAAAGAGCATTACGAGAGTCACCCCCTAACCGAGGAAAGTCCGGAGGATGAGAAGGAGAGATATGCTCGTGTCTATCTCATAGGCATGATCGGAGGAGTGTTCTTCTCCAAGAAATCAAGCAATCTCCTTAGTTGTGGATGGCTTAGGATCATCTTCAGTAGTTGGGAGGAGATGGGGGAGTATAGTTGGGCATCCGCTTGCCTAGCTATCATCTACAACAACTTGTGCAATGCGTCGAACAAAGCCGTGAGGGAGGTTGGCGGCGCAATGTTCATCGTCCAATTTTGGGCTTGGGAGCACATGCCATGGCTTGCACCGGCCCAACGTCCAGA